GAGGGACACAGAATTGTTACTGAGGGACACAGAATTGTTACTCAGGGACACAGAATTGTTACTCAGGGACAGGCACAGAATTGTTACTGAGGGACACAGAATTGTTACTGAGGGACACAGAATTGTTACTGAGGGACACAGAATTGTTACTCAGGGACAGACACAGAATTGTTACTGAGGGACACAGAATTGTTACTGAGGGACACAGAATTGTTACTGAGGGACACAGAATTGTTACTCAGGGACAGACACAGAATTGTTACTGAGGGACACAGAATTGTTACTGAGGGAGGACAGAATTGTTACTGAGGGACACAGAATTGTTACTCAGGGACACAGAATTGTTACTCAGGGACACAGAACTGTTACTCAGGGACACAGAATTGTTACTCAGGGACACAGAACTTGTTACTCAGGGACACAGAATCGTTACTCAGGGACACAGAAATCGTTGAATTAAAGAGTATGTCAGACAACACGCAGAGGAGTGTCAGAGGAGGCCATGTTTTAGGAGCGAGCAGACGTGGCAGCAGAGGAAGGGGTCGAGGCAGCACTAGTCGCAGCCAGAGGCCAGTGCTCCCGGTGTCATCCAGCGGTCGTGTCTCCACCGACAACCCTGCCGTCATCGATTGGTTGGCTCGGTCGTCTTTCCTCTTCCCAGGTCACCTCTGACACCTACAGCCAACGGTCGGTGGGTACGTCAGACACAACCGTTAGTTGGCATGGCCCGGGAGCAAGCCCACTGAAATCACGTGTCCTCTACCTGCCCCTGTCCTTTGGTGTTCCCTCACCAAGCGAAGTATCGCATGCTGTGGGCTCAGCCCCACTGTACAGTGAGGAAGAGCTAACAGAGGGCGGTCAGGAACGGGGGGAGACATCCGCCTCTTCAGCAGCCAGGCGAAGAAGTACTGGCGAGGAGAGTGGCTCGGTAGCCGGTCTAGAGACAGGTCTGTCTCCTGACCCACACGCAGCCGAGGGGGCTAGTAGTGAGGCGGAGACCCTAATTGATGATGATGAGGCTGATCGCACTTGGCAGCCTCGTTGTCATCAGGCTATTTCTTCCGCATCATCAGGAGAAGAGGGTGCCAGCTTGGCAGCGAGCAAAACAGTCGGTGGGTTGCCCAGGAGGCAGCAGGGTCGCAGCAGTGTCAGTGGAGGCAAACGGCCACGGAGTAGAGCACCAGCTCCACTGCAGCCTACCACCACGGCCAGTAGTGGTGCCGGTGTGCACGGAGGAAGTAGCAGTCAGCCAGTGAGGAGTAGTGGGGGCAAAGTTTCCTACTCGGCGGTGGCAAGTAAAGCCGCCCGAGGAAGTAAACGTAGCCGTATGTCGACTATGTGGGCAGAAAGCGTGGCCAGGGGGCCCATGTTGGGACTACAGCGTTGCGTCAGCATATGCAGCGTCGCCATTCGGTGGCCTGGGAAAACCGTGATAAAGATACGGCGGTTCTGCCCGCCCCAGCCCCCGCTCCATCACCCGCTCCGTTACTTGCTCCGTCACCCGACGTCAATCGCCCCTCTATCAGCCAGTCAAGGCTCCAACACCTCTGCTGAGGGGAGTTGTCGCTCGTTGGCATCTTCCGCTCGTTCAGATGCTCCTTCTCCTGCTACTCCTCTTCACGGATTCCGTCAGCAGTCTTTCTTGGAATCCGTTTCCAAGAGACAACAGTTTGCGAGCACGCACCCGACGGTGCAAAAGCTGAACGTCCTCCTGTCCAAGTTGCTGGTGCTGCAGTCCCTCCCTTTCCAAGTGGTGGACTCAGCACCTTTCCAAGAAATGGATGGCTTGTGCCGCGCCGCCGCGGTGGAGAGTGCCAAGCCGATTTCTTCGCCAAAAAGGCAGTGCCAGCCCTGCATTCACATGTAGAAGAGATGGTGGGCCAGTCTTTGAGCATGTCGGTCTCTGCCAAAGTGCACGGCAGCGCCGACGTGTGGAGCTGTAACTACGGTCAGGGACAGTACATGTCATTTACGGCCCACTGGGTGAACGTGGTGCCGGCACAGCCGCACCAGCAACTTGGACAGGTCACGCCGCTTTTGCCTCCACGTTTGCACGTCCTTGGTCCAGCAAAGATGTCCGCCTCTACCACCTCTTCTTCCGCCGTGTCCTCAGCCGCCACCCCCGTGCCAAGTCCCATTACCCGACCGGCATATCACATGTGCAGGGCGCAACGGTGTCACGCTGTGCTGCACCTGGTATGCCTTGGCGAACGTAGTCACACAGGGGAAGAACTTCTGAGTGTAATGAACAGAGAAAATCGACAGATGGCTGTCTCCGCGCAAACTGAAAATCGGAACCATGTTGACCGACAACGGAAAGAACATGGTGTCTGCTCTGCGTCAAGGAAGGTTGTGCCATGCGCCATGCATGGCTCACGTGTTCAATCTGGTTGTCAAGCGGTTCCTAAAATCCACCATCCCACTGCAAGACATCCTTAAAATGTCACGTAAACTTTGCATGCATTTCAGCCATTCCTACACCGCAAAGCACACCCTCCTTGAGCTGCAGCGGCAGAACGGAATTCCACAGCATCGCCTGATCTGCGACGTTGCAACAAGGTGGAATTCAACCCTACATATGTTAGACCGCCTTTACGAACAGCGAAAGGCCATCACCGATTTCCTGATGTTACAAGCGGATAAAGGTACTCCCCTGTGTAACTTAGATGTCAGCCATTGGCAGCTCATGCGTGACACCTGCCGCTTGCTCAGGCCCTTTGAGGAGGCCACGCTATTCATGAGTCGGCAGGACTATGGGATGAACGACGTCATTCCTCTGTTGCACGTCCTGGAACAAATGCTGTTAACAATGGCTGGTCAGGGTGCGGTAGACGTGGCGCACAGATCTCAACGCCACATGACCCCTGTGGGGGCAGGACAGGAAGAAGAGGAGGAGGGTAGAGGTGGACATTGGTGCTCAGGAATTATTGAGTGAAATGGGTGGTTTTTTCCACTCAGCGGACAGGAGTGGAGGAGCAGGAGCATCTGGTAGAGGAGGAGGAGGAGGAGACAGAGGACCCAGACGCACCGTGGCAGTATGCTGTGGAGATGGAGGCAGGGAGTCCCTTGCATTCCTTGGCACAAATGGCCCATAGCATGCTCGGTTGCTTGCGTAGCGACAGCCGAATAATAACCATCAGACAGAGGGATGACTTTTGGCTGTCCACCTTGTTGAACCCTCGCTACCGTTCAAAAATGGTGGCCTTTTTCACACCTGCTGAGAGGGAGGCCAAAATAACGTACTATAAAAACCACCTATGTAGTCAGTTGGTCTCTGCCTTTCTGCGCCAACGTCCATCCTCAGACACTGTGGGCCCTGTGCGCTCGCGTTCCGCTGCCATGGCAGCAGGGGAGGGGTGGGGTGGTAGGAGCAGTGGCAGCTCCACCAGCAGCGGCTGCCTCAGTCTGCAGTCGATGATGAGTAGCTTTCTTCACCAGCGCAGTGAGGAAACTACTAACCAGCCGCAGCAGCAGCAGCAGCATCAGGTGGACCTGGAGCAGGACCTCAAACAACAGGCTTGGGCCTACTTGGACAGCACCCTGCCAACCGAGGTAGACAATCCCTTGACTACTGGGCAACGAAACTTGACCTTTGGCCCCAACTAGCTGAATTTGCCCTTGAAAGGATGTCATGCCCGGCCAGTAGCGTGGCATCGGAGCGCGTGTTTAGTGCGGCAGGAGGTATTATAACTCCGCGGAGGACACGACTGTCCACCCAAAGTGTGGAGAGACTCACGTTTGTGAAAATGAATCAGGCGTGGATTAGTCTGGATTTCAAACCACCAGTTCCTGACACAACTGACTAAATCCGCCATGAATCATGCCCCAAACATGTTATTATTTTTAACATAGGCCTCTGTATGGCCTTCAATTTAAGCTGCTTACGCTTCGCCACTCTGCCATGGGCCCCTGTACCGCCTCCTCTTGCTGCTGCCAGGTCCAGAGTGTGTCATGGGTCCCTGTACGGCCTCCCATTGCTGCTGTCTCCATCGCCACACTCTGCCATGTGCCACTTTCAGGTCTCCTCACACTGCTGGTGGGTTCCATTTTGTCATAGGGTGCTGGCAGATTACGGGCCTCCCATTGCTGCTGCCAGGCCCGTAATCTGCCATGGGCCCCTGTACCGCCTCCTCATGCTGCTGCCAGGTCCAGAGTGTCTCATGGGTCCCTGTACGGCCTCCCATTGCTGCTGTCTCCATCGCCACACTCTGCCATTTGCCACTTTCAGGTCTCCTCACACTGCTGGTGGGTTCCATTTTGTCATAGGGTGCTGGCAGATTACGGGCCTCCCATTGCTTCTGCCAGGCCCGTAATCTGCCATGGGCCCCTGTACCGCCTCCTCATGCTGCTGCCAGGTCCAGAGTGTCTCATGGGTCCCTGTACGGCCTCCCATTGCTGCTGTCTCCATCGCCACACTCTGCCATGTGCCACTTTCAGGTCTCCTCACACTGCTGGTGGGTTCCATTTTGTCATAGGGTGCTGGCAGATTACGGGCCTCCCATTGCTGCTGCCAGGCCCGTAATCTGCCATGGGCCCCCGTACCGACTCCTCATGCTGCTGCCAGGCCCGTAATCTGTCATGGGCCCCTGTACCCGCCTCCTCATGCTGCTGCCAGGTCCAGAGTCTCTCATGGGTCCCTGTACGGCCTCCCATTGCTGCTGTCTCCATCGCCACACTCTGCCATGTGCCACTTTCAGGTCTCCTCACACTGCTGGTGGGTTCCATTTTGTCATAGGGTGCTGGCAGATTACGGGCCTCCCATTGCTGCTGCCAGGCCCGTAATCTGCCATGGGCCCCCCGTACCGACTCCTCATGCTGCTGCCAGGTCCAGAGTGTCTCATGGGTCCCTGTATACGGCCTCCCATTGCTGCTGTCTCCATCGCCACACTCTGCCATTTGCCACTTTCAGGTCTCCTCACACTGCTGGTGGGTTCCATTTTGTCATAGGGTGCCAGCAGATTACGGGCCTCCCATTGCTGCTGCCAGGCCCGTAATCTGCCATGGGCCCCTGTACCGCCTCCTCATGCTGCTGCCAGGTCCAGAGTGTGTCATGGGTCCCTGTACGGCCTCCCATTGCTGCTGTCTCCATCGCCACACTCTGCCATGTGCCACTTTCAGGTCTCCTCTCACACTGCTGGTGGGTTCCATTTTGTCATAGGGTGCTGGCAGATTACGGGCCTCCCATTGCTGCTGCCAGGCCCGTAATCTGCCATGGGCCCCCGTACCGACTCCTCATGCTGCTGCCAGGCCCGTAATCTGTCATGGGCCCCTGTACCGCCTCCTCATGCTGCTGCCAGGTCCAGAGTGTCTCCTGGGTCCCTGTACGGCCTCCCATTGCTGCTGTCTCCATCGCCACACTCTGCCATGTGCCACTTTCAGGTCTCCTCACACTGCTGGTGGGTTCCATTTTGTCATAGGGTGCTGTATGGCCTCCCATTGCTGCCCCCCACCGCCACACTGTGGCTCCACACTCTGGTTTTGGCCCCGTGACTGCCCAAATGAGTGAAGTGTGCGGTGATTCTAAGATCGACGGCACTCATCTGCATGTCATACTGACTGACAGTATTATTTCTCTTCCCCAGCAGACTCCAAGGGCATTTAAATTAACGGTACAGTGTTCTGCACTAATATAAAGGCTCTCTGAAGCCTAGAAACACCCTTTTTATAAGTTAAATTGGCAGCGAATATATTCGCATCGAATCGAATTTATTCCTCGAATTCGCCGAATCAGCCGAATCGAATTTTTGAATACTTCGCTCATCTCTATTTATAAGCATGGACAACAGTCAACATACACTATCAAGAAAATAAAAACAAATATGCAGAAATTAAATGAGATCATAAGTATCTGTCTTGTCATTGCAGGAAAGTTAAACAAAAAGAAACAATAAAAAATAGCCATGCAGAAAAAAATATAACTGCTGGCATAATAATGAGCCCCACAAATACTGTTTTATATCAAGAAATAACTAGCAGAATGCCTCCAAAAAAGTCAGTTCAGTCTAGGTGAACAAAAGGCTAGCAGTGGGGGGCTGAGACTGGTCTGGGGAACACTGTTCATGATTAATGTGAAAACATGGACAGCATTGTTCTACAAAACATAGATATATGTTTGCAGATTTCTTATATTGCTATTTTCCATCTATATGCTATTTTTTCACTCACTGGGGATACAGAGAAACAGTTTTCACTGCTTGTCAACATTCCCTAGATATACCACTATATTTTCCAGCTTGTAAGAACAAAGTACTATTTCTCCGCTGCAGATTTGTATCTAAGGTGTCTTGTAGGGGCTCAGGAGGCACAGCATTTGAGATGTCCATCTTAGTGCTGCATCAATCATAAGTTCACAATAAAAGGCTTGGAAGGTTGGATGGTCAGCAGCAGCGGCGGACTGACCATTTGGAAACTCGGGCACTGCCCGAGGGCCCGGGGTCAGTAGGGGGCCCCATGAGATGCCCCTGGTACCTTTTTCATAAGTTTTTTTGAGTTTGGGCAAGGACACAGGGGCCCCATGATCCCCTATTGCCCGGAGGCCCCATGAGTTGTCAGTCCGCCCCTGGTCAGCAGTCATCATTTGCATATGATTCAAGATGTCTAGATCTATGGATCTATGGATCATTTCAAGTTTTCAACATTTCTCAGTTTTAATTGCCCTTTTGAAGTAACTTGCAAGAGTAAGATTAATTTTTAAAGTGGACTTAAAATGATATTAAAGGCATTTTTTAACAACAATAAACATGTTATACTTACCTCCTCTGTGCAGTGGTTTTGCACAGCCAGCCCTGATCCTCCTCTTTTCAGGTCCCCCACTAGTGCTCCAGCCCCCTCTCTCCTGCCAAGTGCCCCCAGAGCAAACAGCTTACTATGGGGGCACCCAGGCAGGCTCTCTCACAAGCTGCTGCTCTGCATGTTCATTCACACAGAGTCGCGAGGTGGCCCTGCCCCTGCTCTTTCCTCATTGGCTTACTGGCTGTGATTGACAGCCAATGGCTCCCGCTGCTGTCTCAGCCAATAAGGAAGGAGAGTCCCTGGAGAGCCAAGGCTCTTGTGCACATTGCTGGATCTTGATGGGGCTCGGGTAAGTATTAGGGGGGACTGAGGGGGTTGCTGCATACAGAAAGTTTTTTTTTACCTTCATAATTCATGCATGAGAAAAAATGTCTCTTAGATTGTAAGCTCCAAGGAGCAGGGCCCTCCTAACCCCCTTGTATTGAACTGTATTGTTGCTGTATTGTCTCCCGTTATATTGTAAAGTGCTGAGAAAAATGTTGGCGCTATATAAATCCTGTATAATAATAAATGTAGCATTTTTAGGGTTTACATACACTAAAGCTCTGCCACCTGCCATGTGACCTGAAGCAAATTTCAGGTACCAGGATTGTAAGCCAATATAGAGGGAAATATTACATGATTATGGTGAGATTTTATCTATATGAAGAATATCAACATGTGTAATGCATTTTCTAATTTTTAATATATTGAGATACAAAGGTCAGTTTATAATTTAGCAGGTTACATCATAGTGAGAAAAGATAAAACCCACATTTCATTATGACCAGCTAATCGTGTATTGTTGTTGATTAGAAGATATTAAATGATAATTTGCAGTATTATCCTGATATCATTATACCCAGTATGACATAAAAACAATGTAATCCAGTTATGAATTAATTAAAAAGAATTAAATGCACATTTAGGTAGAGGCAGTGTAACTCCCTGAATCTGTCTTGATTATCACCCTTCTGTAATGCCCTGTAAAGTAACAATCTTAGGAGAGAAAAGGACAACACAGTGCTGTCAACTGTCAATATGATTGCATGCAGGAAAAGAAAAAATATCGCCCCATCAGTGTGCTGCTGCTTGTTCACTGTACAGTCATAAGCTGGGGTGAGTTCTTGATTCATATGCCTCCTATATGGCTATCTGGCTGCTCTGTAATTTATCCCAATGGATGCAGCATTACTCCAGAGCTTGTACCACACTCCAGCAGCACAAGAGATACAAGAGATCGTCTCTTCACATGTTCCCGAGCTTCTCCATTACCAAGACCTCTTACACTCTCTATTTATCCTCTGTGACATCTCAGGCTAGTTACCGCATTCTGCTATACTGGTCCCTGTATGTGGTACACCAATCACTAGGGAGGGGGCCAATCTCTCAAACCTTCTTTCTACCGGAGCCCTCTGTCACCCATGTCATGTCACTAAGACTCCCTCTAGTTGGCTGCTTAAGCAACTGGCATTTCTCTCCTACAACTGCAGGTTAGACCTTTGTAATGTGTTCAAACTGACTTCTATTCATCCCCCTTTCAAGTCCTGTTCTTTGATACACCATTCATGCACCATTTTAGTGACTTCAGACCAGGAAAATTGGCTTAACAATAAAGTTCTTTATTGAAGTGATTAAATAATACAGATGAATAGTTATCAGCAACATCTTCCATACATATGGAAGAAAGACCTCTAAGTGCCTTTTTAAAAAAAGAAAATGAGTATTGGCACAGGAGAGGTAGTTGTGGATATAATAGTCACAAGAGTCAATAGGGAGCAGGAGAGGCACAACACCTTCCAGGAGACCCAGCTCTCTTACGCACCGTGGCCCCCTGGATATCCACCTGCCCTCCCTGCTCCTCCCATGGGATCGGTAAAGGAGAACCAGCCATCACGTTAGCTGTGGCCCCTGGAACCCATCCAAGCCTATGCATCATGCTTATGGTATTATGTCCGGATGACGTCCTTCCCATATATTTTGATGCCTGGATAATCTCTACCTCCTGTGAGTTACTTATATTTGCATGCAATAAACTGTTACTTTTATACTACACTTAGTCTGGCGCAACTCTCTCTCCTCTAAGTGCCTTTTTTTGGCTGTCACAACAGTCACATGATCGGAAAGGTCCCGATCACAAGGAGAGATCTGGACCTTTCCGTGGGACGCCTACACATGTGCTGGGAGCGCGCAGGGCGCTCGCTTTCAGCACACGTTTGTTTACAAATGGTTTACAAATGGTACGCAAATATGCGGCCACTCAGCGTCAAGGTCCAGCCACTGATAGGCTGCATATTTGCATATGGTTGGCATGAAGAGGTTAATTTACATCAGTTTGCACATCCATCTTCAGTTCAGTTTACAAGATTTTGCATTGCAGTTCAGTTTACATCCATTTTACATCTGTTTAGTTGTTAAAGAAACTAATCATCATAGTCAAAAGTATAAACAAAAAATATGTTTCTAGCATAAAAACAGAACAGAATGGATGTAAATGGACAACATCTATTTACTTTCATTCAGATCCACCTAAACAGAAAAGGATGTTCAAAAAACTGACCCGAACGGGCATGGATGTAGGGGAGTGTAAACAGATGATCAGTTTATATCCACAAGCCCATAAAAATATATTGCTGTCCATTTTTTAAATCCCAAAACCAACAGATGAAAAAAGGACGAATGGAACACCTGTGTGAAAAGGCACTAAATCACAAGACTGACTGAAGAGTATGCCAAATAATTTGGTAAGTAAACAATTCTCATACTGTACGTACATCAACAGTGAATTTGATTGTTTGCCTGGAATGTAGCTTCAAGCTATGCAAACTACAAAAGAAATGCATAATAATATGTCACTGTCATTTACCCTATTTATCAGATGATAGTATTTAAAGTAGAGCAGGGCAAACTTGCCATTTCTAGAAGACTAGGGGGTTATGAAAATCATGATGAAAATTTTGTAAAAACGTTTGTCACAATGCATAGGCAGCTATTTTATAAAGGAAACTGCTACTAAAAAAAAAGTATGAAAAAAACTTAGAAAAAATGGGCTATAAATGTGCATATGATGGCGTTTTGCATGGCCTGTGAACATCCATGTAAATTTATGGTAAACTCTCAATGATTGGTGCTATATCTAACTAGCATAATGATTTGTGTGCCTCTAGGTGTTTGTTTGAAGATGAGTGAACATAGACAAAAGAAATGCCAAACTGTCTGGCATCGATTTTTATAAAAACACATTTATAGGAATGCTTATTTCAGTGGGACAGTCGCAAGGAAATCTTAACTGTCTCTGGTAAGGCAGCTCTCAAAAACACAGGCCTCCCTCAATGGGTACCCATCAACGCAAAGTATACAAATGAGGGCCAGATGCAAGTGAGAGTCCAAAGTGCATTTAAATGTTTGTATTACTGTAACATGAAAACAACCAATGCGTTTCGGGGGCAACAAGACTCACTTTTTATCCAGGCTACAAAAACACATTTTAATGAGCAATAGAATTGAATCCAAAAATTATGAGAGTGATAAAAAAAACTTGTATCTGTACATAGAGTATGAATATGGAATTTCATAAATAAAATATATACCATTTTAAAACAGACCATCCGTGGGAAGCATTAAAGCCCAACACTGAGGGTAAATTACAAATAAAGGTGCATATAATAAATCACAAATACTCATCTCTACCATACAAAAAGCTACATTTGCAAATATCTGCTACTATTCGAAACACAAAATGATTGAAAGCAGTGACCATTCAATGGTTTCCGACTGCTAGAAATACTGAAAAACATGTCCCCATAATTCTTTCCCTTTGTGATCACCTTGGAAAAGAAAGAGTATTTGTTGAGTATGTTCG